TCCGGCGATCCGTCGTTCTTTCCTTCCATCCGTTCTCTCTGGCGTGGATTTCAAATCGGACAATAAACGAGGTCGGTGATTCTGATTTAGTCGATTGCATGTTTATGTGGTGTTTGATTCGAGAAAGTTTACGTACTAGATTAGAGACCTAACCTGCGGATTTTGAATCTGGTTTGAGTTTTTAGGGTGTTACGAGATGATGCACACCAAGCCGGCGATGATGGAGAAGGAGAAAATATTGGTGTGGTGGAACATAAACCGCTGTCCGATCCCGTCTCGTGTTGACGCTCTCGAGGTCGGTTCGAGAATATAATCGGCGTTGAAGAAGGCAGGCAACTCTGGTCCCCTCACCATAACTGCCATTGGCGAAATGAGACAAGGCCCTTTTGACAAAGTCTTGGAAGGCCTCTCTTCCACTGGAATCACTTGCCCAAGGTTAATCTTCTCTTCCTGTTATGGATTTTTCGTTCCTTTTTAAATTAGGGTGTAGGTTCAATGTTGCTTTCCTTCACTGAAACAGATACAGAGATTCTAAGAGAGTTGTTTAAATGGATCCAGAAAAATCCACCTCCGGCTAAAATAATGCTCATAGCTGGTCCTCGTCAACTCGAGTGCTTAGCTCCTGCTGTGTTTGGCCTAGATTGGAAAGGTTACGAAATTATTCTGGCATATCCTCCTACGCAGGATCAAGTTCCAGAGTGGGTCAGCAAAAGCTTTTTGTCTGTTGTTTATCAAGAGTGGCTCTGGACAAGCTTCCTGGATTCAGGGTCTGCGTGTCAGACCAAAATACAGCCTCTTCGTCAGGGCTGGTCTTGCGCACTATGCAATTTTGCTGCCCGGAGCTTTAAAGAATTCACCGCTCATCTCAGGAGTGAACAACATCAACTTATGGCAAGCATATTCTGACATTTTGTTATGAACAATACGTTTTTCATTGTGTTACCACAAGTTTTTCTTTCTCTGATTTCCATTTGATGTGTTGTCAAGCAGGAGAAGAAGCACAAGGACACCACTGAGGCAAGTTTTAATATCCCAAGTTGACATTTCTAAACTTGAAACAAAATACCTTCTGATTCCATTGGATGTGAAATAGATCGCATGAATGATTTTGGATTTACTGACTTTGGTTGATGCTTAAGGA